CAATTTTTGGCTGAGATATAACCATTTTCATTAATTCTGACTGAAAAACAATTTGAGCAGTACCATTTTCATCCACTACATGGCAGCAGAGTAGTAGTAGCAGTAAGGCATGCCATTGTATCATGTAATAGGTAAAAGTGGCTATAATGACAAATTCAAAAAAGTTCAAGACAAAAACTGGGCTTTATTTATTATATTTTATACTTTATTGTTTTTGTCTTGAACTTTTTTTTTATTTTATTTACCATGTTGATTGAGAATCTTCACCAGCTATTAATGACACACTCAGCTTTCCACAGTCTGCCACCTTCGTTCTACTCGCTGCTTGGAACAACCGTCAAACCAGCTACACCGCCCCGGCGAAATGCAGCTAATTTGACTATTAAAGTACATTTATTAAGTAAATGTTAGACTGAGACACACCTTTACTATAATTTCAAGCAAACAAATAATTGTTTTATGTGCTTTTCTTGTTAAATTTCAAAGAAACGAGCAGCGTTCCTCTTATATATTTTTTTTCCCTCCCTCTGCGTGCTCCCGGAGTACCGAGTCAGCAAAGACTTTTGAAATACAGCTGATTTGACCGTTAGTCTTTTTTATTAAACGTTAGACTGAGACACACCTTTACTATAAAGTGGAGCAAACAAATAATTGTTTTTAGGTGCTTATCTTGTCAAATTTCGAAGAAATGAACGATTCGTCCCTCTGCGAGTGCTCGCTTACGCGAATCGGGTTTTGAAATGCAGCTGATTTGACCATCAAAGTGCATTTATTAAGTAAAAGGTAGACTGAGACACGCATTTAATATAATTTAGAGCAAACAAATAATTGTGTTTTTAAGTGTTAATCTTGTTAAATTCTTGTTAAAGTCCTCCCACCACCGCCATTTGGCAGCCCATCAATTTTTGGCACAACACCGGTTGATTTGATTGGTTGTGCTGCACTGAGTATTGTTTTTAAAGATGATTTTCAAACTAACTGGTTGCGTCAGCCTGAATTAATCTCACTAAGAAACAATACACTGCATCTAATTACAAATAAAATTCAACTGAACAGCAAAATTACTTTTTGTCTCATCTGGTATTTAATACAAATTTAATTTCCTCTCATTTTTAGAACTGCAAGTTGACAGACATCCAAACAGTTCCAGCATATGACACATAACCAAACACCAACAATATATCCATGCTTCATATGTTCATGAAACCAGGACCTTTATTTTTTTCTGTGTGCTCAAAAACGAACTTTTGCAGGATTTCAGTTCGATTTTCTGCTCTGAGCTGCGAGGACACACAAAGTCAGCAAGCCTCT